AGCTACCATGGGATCAACATGCCATAGACAGTTGGCATACGTCACATGTCAGTGGTGACTTGCTGTAACACTATCAACTCGAGGCTATGAGGAAACAATTCAACAGCTTTGATGGGCTCTCCAACAGCAGCCTCCTGAAGGTGATGTGATTCGTGCCCCACCGGCGCGGAAGGCCCAGGCACGGGCGAAAATCATTTCGGCTATCGGGGCACAGACCTTGTCGTGGCCTAGGAGATGTGATCGGAGGTAAGCATACCATGCTCAGTCTCCACCTTGCTATGAGCCGTCGCACCAACGGATAGTTCGCGAGGATGGCGACACATGTCAAGTCGGGACTTCCGAGTTTTACCAGCCGAACGGGTTGCCGGCCTGGAGTCTATGCTTGTGAGGGTTGATAATGGATGGCCTTCATCATCCGAATGATATGGTTTCCGTCGCTGCGCATGTGCAACAATAGTGATAGCGGTCCTTAAAGCAAAGTTGCAAGCGCCCACGCACGAAGACGGGAGAGACAGGACAATTGAATCCATGAGCCTGTATGGAAAGGATACATAATTTCACATCTTGGCTTGATCCAATTGATCGGCGATTGTGATACCAATGCTCTGGGCGCACGGCACATACTATCAAGGGTTGTGTAACATGCCGACCTTAGCCAAATCGCGGGCTGCCCCATCGTGAGCATCTACATCTTGCCCTGGAGTCTGCATCTCCGTGCCGTGTTGGCGTCGCGAAGCAATTCAAATCACCCGTTCTCACCAATGTCACTCGAAAAGCCGGGATCAGTCGGCCAACGTACCAAAGTTGAGCCTCCGCGCTAACTCTACCTTGATATGCGGGCCAACTCTAGGCCGCATGAATGTTCGCTCCTGGCTGTGCAATCTGCACGGCGAGTGATTGCTGCATACATCTCATATCCTCATCAATCCTTCCTTGGCGCACTCACGTTGAGAAGAGGAGCACCGTCATTCGGGCATTCAGCAGCCACGGTTGTAACACAGCGTGAGACTAAGTCCCGTTGAAGATAGATGTCCGCATAACTAGCGGAACACGTTAGCAGCGTAAATGGCTAGAGCACCAAGACCGAACGGCATACCTGAACTTTGTAATTACTCGAGTAGCAGTTCTCGAGCCACTAGGTCGCATCCCGTTCCAAGCGACATTCGCCATTCAAGGGCCAGAGGTGTGGCGTAGCAAAAATGGACTGGCGCCATTGGCATCTCGGCTTGAGAGACGGCGGAGCTTTGTGATCGGTCCCAGCAGCAAAGTGTGGATACTCCGTGCGACGGGGTGTCGCTGTCATGCCTGCCGCGCCAGACTAATCAGGCGCCAAAGTATGTTCATGTTCTCCCACTTTACTGAACGTCTAGAATAGAAGGGCGCCCAACTTACCTACAATACTGGTGCGGGTCCCAGATACATATCTGCTACATACCACTGCTCGCCCGGCTACCTCTCCGATCGGTCCTTGAGAGTCTCAACTACTGGAAGGAGGCCGAACGCTTTATACACAACGACTCCGCATACACGCTGATTGGATCTTTGGAATAGCCGTAGTTTGAAGAAAGCTGGATATCATCTGGCTTGGACGACTTTGACGAAACACCGGAATCGCCTTGTCGCGCCGATCGGCCGTGGATGATGCCAATCACTTGACTGTGATCAACCTCTTCTTCCCTGGAACCCGTTCCGAGCGATCATACCCCAAGCGGCTCCGCCAGGCTGATCCCCAGCTTTATTCAATTCTTCTGTGGAGGTGCGTCCTTGATCATCTCTACTTCTGTGCAGTTCAATGAACATAACTGACTGACAGACTGCAGCCTTTGCCTATCAGGTAGCGTATGACAAGGCGCATCTTCAGCCATACGTGACTACTTTACCTTCCAACACGCCAAGTGAGGAATACGCATTGCAATGTTTGTTGATCCAGAGATTGCGACCAAGTACCCTCTTGGGAGCAGACCTAGCATATCATTCCTCCCAGGGCTCATCGTGGGATCATACATTGTCAGCTTAATCGGTGCTTTCACAACGGTGGAACTGCTGCATCGCAGAGTTTCAGGAGCAGGATGGCGATCGTGGTATGTTCTGAGAGCACATTGTCGTATAACGATCTAACCAAGTTCCAGGGTACAAATCGGAGGCTGTGCAGTATCCTTCGGTTTGGTGGCGATCTGGTGCATGCACTTTGTAGGGAACCGAGCCATCGTGCTCGGTGACGGGGAAGAAGAGATCCAGCTTTACTACAGTTCGACCTACACCGCAGTTTCGGCTATCCTCCCCGTGGTCGTTATTTTCCTAGGACTACTGGCCGCAGACAAGTTTTACAAAGGAAGTAAAGGATCTTTTGTCCGATTCGCATCTCTAGGCGTTTGTGGTGTCTGCGGAGGAGCGGCGGTCACTGAGATGCATTATCTGGGCAACAACGGCACTACTAACTACCGAATCATCCTGAGTTGGGCGCACGTTGTTGGCGCCGCCTCCATCGCCGTGGGCGCATGTCTGATCTCGTTTAGTCTTTTCTTCATCTGGAGCAAACACTGGATGAACAATCTCTGGCGGCGTATCATTGTGGCAATTGTACTTGCCTTGGCTGTGTGCGGAATGCACTGGACTGCTGCAGCTGGTACCTGGTATGAGATCCGTGGCTACCACAGCGGACCAGGTCAGGAAAGGAACACGAACCTTATCATCTCTCTGTGCCTTGTAAGTCATTTGCTTCAAGTAAATTATGCACCACTAATCAGCACCAGTGCTTGAGCGCGTGTGTCGTGTGCTTTATGCTCGGCTTCATCAAGCAACGTCAACGACGACTGGAGAAGAATCGAGCGGCACAAGTCGTTTTGGCTATCGCCACATTCGACCCTGAAGGAAGACTGCTCGTCAGTCAAAGCGGACTGATGCCGTGTCAGACCATCACCCAACAATTCCACCAAAGAACTTTTGATGAAGAGTTCAATACCTCGCATCCCGTATTCCAATGGATCTTTCGAGTATCGCGCAACTGGACCGGCATTTCCGATCTCATCCCAAAAATGCGAGAGCATCTCCAAGCCACCGGCTATCTCCAAGCGCCAACTCACGCAAGCAACAGCAGGACGTCTCTTGATAGTGACGAAGATTTGAGTTACTCAGCTACCTTCCGAGAGCTGTTCTGCGTCACCGCTCACGATATCGCGAAGACTCTCGATACAAGCCTGCATAACTTGGGATGTCTCTACGAAGAGGTATTAACAACGGGAACCATGAACAACCGCGCAATCTGGACGAGCAACTACGGCAACAAGACCATTGTGGCTGCAGACGTGGCGACAAAAGACCTCGAAGCCGCTATCGTGAATCCGATCCTCTTCGGCCGTGGCCAAATGCTCGTACTTACGAAGAAAGTCGATACAACTGAGGCACACCGACTACACAACCTCGGGTATGGATTCGCGAGCGTTGAACAAGTTAGCGATCATCTAGCCCGCAGTTTACAGATACCACGCGACGATCTCGAGAACCTAGTGGGACGCCTCCATGCATTCAGCGAGAGACAGCTATCACTTCCCAAGAAAGGAACCTACATTGGCTCCTTTCTCGTACAACCCAAACCCGGCATGAGGGGCCTAGATGTCATCGTCCCGCGCGCCGCACCCGGCCGCCTTCCAATGGTAAAGCTAAGCAGCGAAGAGCTCGACGGACGACAAATGAGCATTCTCGCCACCTTCAACGGTTCCACGCTGGATGATTGTTTGTTGCGAATCAATAACCGCACAGCGACAGACCCAGAAGATGATTTGTTCCTCGATAAATTCCGCAACCGGATCATGGAGCTCCTCCGTGACTGCCCAGAAGAAACGCTGCATCGTGCAGTCTTTTCATCGCAACAACTCGACATGATGCACGGCCAGACGGAGCTTAGCCACGCAACCATCTTCGCCTTCTGCGGTATCAAAGAGATTTACGTGCAGAGTCTGCAGAGCCTGACGCTCAAAGCTATTCCGCTGTCTTTCTTCCAAACATATTTGAGGAGTCAGGAAGGATGTGCCGATCACGCTATCCTGGCCCAGAAGAACCACAAGGAATTCTCTTCACTACGCCGCGCGCCGTCCGTAACCAAAATCGCACCGTCCAGCCGCGGACACAGATGGCCACGTGCTCTACGCTCCAAACGCTCGAGTTCGACAGAGATAAGCTGGCAGACGGACACCTGTTCTGAAAAGGGACTCGTAAATTACACCACAACATCGACGTCAGCACCTGAGCCGTCGAGCCATCCCTGGGGAGGCATTATGGTAACGAGTACGCAGAATATTCATGTGGATGAGGGAAAAGATGGAGCAAATCTTGAACTCAGTGAGTTGGGGGTGAGTGCGAAGGTTGGAATGGCGGAGACGGAGCAGCAGACGTTGGCAGATAGGCTGATGAGTATCACGACGAGTTTTCGAGATCCGCATGCGGTGACGAGGCCAGGGTATCATGGGGTGAGGAAGTAGAGGATGGGAAGGAGTAGACGGTGATTTTGTTTCAGAAGCATTGCGCGGCGTTGGATCATTGAGTAATCGGGATACCCCTTCATAATGACATACGATGACGATACGAAGGGGAGTTTGGGCCTTTGTTGGGGGGCGCTCAATAGGTTTAATGAGTAGAAAGTGTTTTGAAGTCGTTCAGGACAATGTATAGAGTAATATGTATATCACGTATGGCATGGATTTAAAGGAACAATCTGGCCAGGAAAGCGCATGGCACATATGCAGGTCGTCCGATAACGCAGGCCCACAATGGTGGGAGGAGGCTTGGCGAATGACGCTCATCTGAACTTTCTATGCCCCACGCGTGAACTCTCCAGATCGATTGACTCAAAGCTAGCTCTGCGCGACACCAGCAGACAAAGCTCACGCCGTTGGTCGTTCATAAGACATATTTACCCCTACCTCGATCCGAATCACCAATTGCGCGCTGCTGCTGCTGCTTCGATTCGTAGCGTACGCCCTGCCCGCTGCGGCCCCTCGACCATGTCTTCCCCACGAACACACACCCTCACCCCTCTCGCAACCCTCACACCGCCATCCAACTCACGAACATGGCAATCGGCGCCCCACCCTACTCTCCCTATTGTCGCAACAGCATGTTCCGACCGCAGCGTCCGCGTGTACAGCTTGACCTCCTTTACGCTCCTGCACTCGATAACCGGAGGCCATAAACGCAGTGTACGCACCGTTTCCTGGAAACCTGGCACGCGGGGGCAGAGCGTGCTTGCGACGGGGAGTTTTGATTCGAGCGCGGGGATATGGCGGCGGGAAGAAGGCGGCGGTGCTGTGGGTGGCATGGAGCGCGACTTCACGGATGCAGGCGGACGAACCGGCGGATGCATGGATGAAGACAACTTTGACACAGTCTCGGACTATGACGACGCCGACGACTATCAATTCTCTTGTATTCTCGACGGGCACGAATCGGAGATCAAGTGCTTGGCATGGTCACCCTCGGGCCAATATCTAGCTACCTGCTCCCGTGACAAGAGCGTGTGGATATGGGAGGAGCTCGAGGACGACAACTTTGAGACGGTCGCCGTACTACAAGAACACGACGGCGACGTCAAATCCGTGGCATGGCACCCAGAAGAAGACTTGCTGGTTAGCACGAGCTACGACGACACTGTCCGGTTGTACAGGGAAGATGCAGACGACTGGGTGCAGGTGGCTATGATTGATGGGCACAAGGAGACAGTCTGGTGGGCTGAGTTTGAAGGCAGCGGCATGAGTAAAAAGGACTACAGGAAAGACACGGCAGGGCTGGCAGCCGAGCAAACACAACACATGGAGGAACTGGAGAGATCAGGACCTAGATTCGCGACCTGCTCGGATGACTGCACAGTTCGCATATGGCGGAGACGGCCGCGAGAGAGAGACGAGTATGCCGAGCGCAACACGGGCATACCCAGTATTATTCGTTCTGCGGCCATTGACGAGGACTGGCATCAGGAGGCTGTGCTACCTAAAGCTCATGAACGCGCCGTCTACTCGGTCAGTTGGAGTCGAAGGACGGGGTTGATTGTTAGCGCGGGGAGTGACGGGAAGATTGTGGTCTACAAGGAGAGGTGGAGAGAACAACAAGCTGCTCCGGATACCGACAACGGGGATGCGGACAAGTCGTTGACTGAGTGGGTGGTTATTGCGGAGTTATTCTCAGGGCACGACGTGTTTGAGATCAACCATGTTTGTTGGGCGAGGAGAGCAGACAAGGGCAAGCGGTCAGAAGATGAGGAGATCATACTGAGTACGGGCGATGATGGCGAAGTAAGGGTGTGGACTTTGGACGACGACGCAGCCGTTCCTACGTAGGTTAGCAAGGTTTCCTTGATGTTGTTCATATGCAGATGCGTCATGGCAATTGTGCCAAATGCAAGGAATCAGGATGGCAAATGCCACACGTGGGTTGGCTATGTGGCGCAGGGAGCGTCGGGCGGACTTTCGTCATGCCAAGCCGTGCCGATCAGATCAGGATTCAAGGAAGCGCGAAATTTATTAGGATGATGTTAGGTGTACTCTACGCGTGTTCAACAACTACTAGACCTCGCCGTCAAATCCGCCGACGTCTTCTCCTTGGACGTTCTGGCCTGTATTTCCTGTCGTGCTCAGTTGGCGTCGCCGTCGTCACTTCTTCCACCATCTAATTGGCGCTTGCGCATTGTCTCCCGACACCGTTATCACCCGCGTTTTCCCCATATCTGGACATTGCGCATCCGACATCTACCTACTTCCTCACCTGCCCATTCCTCCATCTACACTGCACGTGCTGGTTTCGCAAAACTAGTCTTAAACGCCCGCCCATTGCGCCCGTAATTGCACCTACTGTCCTGCTGCTTGTTCACCGCTTGAAGCCTTCGGACTCCCCACGCTTATGCCGCCAAAACGAAAGCGCTCAACCACAGTAACGTCGGTCAAGAAAGACGCCATGGACGCTGTGCAGCCCTCATCGCGCGACGCCTCGGACGAGGGTGCCGAGGACCCTGTCCTCCAAGCCGTCGCGTCCAAGAAGGAGCGCCAGGCCGATGCCAATGCCAATGGCACGACGACGACGACGACGAAACGGGTACGCGTCAAGAGCGCCCACGGCGACCAAGACAGCGACGAGGATGAGCGCGCAAGCAAGAAGAGCCGCCGCACATCCTCGCTTGCAGGCGACGATGACCACGGCGAAGGAGGCGAGGCTGGAAGCATGCGCATGGAGCCTCCGCCGAAAGCTGGCCTCGTCGATCCTGTAGGGTACAAGACGAATCCGCCGCCAGAGGGCCGACCGGTCAGGATATACGCAGACGGTGTGTTTGATCTCTTCCACATTGGACACATGCGCGCCCTGCAGCAAGCCAAGACGGCCTTTCCAGACGTCCACCTCGTCGTCGGCGTTACCGGCAACAAGGAGACGCACAAGCGCAAGGGTCTGACCGTTTTGTCGGCGAGGGAGCGTGCCGAGAGTGTGCGCCATTGCAAGTGGGTTGACGAGGTGATTGAGGACTGTCCTTGGATCGTCACCGCCGAGTTCTTGCTCAAGCACAATATCGATTATGTTGCGCACGACGACCTTCCCTATGGCGCAGACGAAGGCGATGACATCTACGGTCCCATCAAGGAGCGCGGCATGTTCCTCGTCACACAGCGAACAGAGGGTCTCAGCACAACGGGTATCATTACAAAGTAAGTCTACGAACATGCAGTGTTTGACGGTAGTAGCCAGGCTAACATATGCACAGGATCGTACGCGACTACGACCAATACATCGACCGCCAACTCAAACGCGGCACCTCGCGCAAAGAACTAAACGTGTCCTGGCTCAAGAAGAATGAACTAGACGTCAAGCGCACCATGGCCGAGCTGCGCGACAGCATCAAAGCCAACTGGACCACCACAGGCCAGGAACTGAGCAAGGACTTTAGACAGTTTTGGCAATACGGCACCTCGAGGCCGGCCAGTCCTGCGAGGACGCCAACGCGGGAGCAGACGCAGGCCGAGGCTATGGAATCTGGCGGCAATGTTGCGAGGAGCCCGAGTGCGATTAGTAGGCTGAGCCACTTGGACATTCCCAGGGCGAACATCAACAGTACCAGGGAGTCATCCGAGTTCGCGGCGGGCTACAATCTGGGTCTGATTGGTGGTGTAAGGTCGTGGATGGCACGCAGTCGCCGTAATCTGAACGATAGTAGGCCTCAGAGCCCCACGTTTGATGAGAGCTCCGATGAGCAGGAGGGGGCGAGGAGTCCGCAGGACAAGGAAGTCACGCGTGGACGGACGGGCAAACAGATGAAGAGTGAGGGTATGGATACGGCGGCTTAGGATGTCTTGACCAAGTACCTCTATTAGACCTCTTATGTTACGGCATGTTGTGGTGGGTTTGGGGAGGGTGGGAGGATGAAAATGTTTTCCCTTTTTCTCTTTTTCCCCTATCCCTCCCCCATGGTCCCACGTATCTTGTTTAGTCGTATGAGGTCCTTTACGCGGTGCTTGCTAGGTCAAAGGCTATCAGTGTGCGCTTGTTGCACCGTCTCTCTCTCTCCCTCTCTAGTCAAGAGGGAAACTTATTTTATCATAATACTTATCCTGTTCGTGTTGCCGACTGCGCCTTCTTTCGCCTTGCGTTGTGCTACTGAACAACTTTCCTTGGTTCCCTACGTTGGTAGGCTAATTTTGGGCTATGGTATTTGAGTGTAAGTTATTGGTTCAACAGGCAAGCTTTGACAAAATATGCATACCTAGCGCAGGCATGGATGGTGAGGAAGATGTGTGAGTCCGCAATGATCAATCATGACAGAATGCAGGAAGTGGTAAGGTGCGCCAGACAGTGTATAGCAAGCGCGCCAACATCTTGCCGTTTCTCCAACTTAGCTTCGCGTTTTGTGGAATCTCCTAAACATCACGCACGATAGTGGTGCCCTCACTGTACTTCTCTCCCTTTCTCTTCTCCTGCACAACTGCACTCCCAACAACGTTAGCGAGGCAGTACCTTACCATGACTACATCGCTCTCTTGTTACGTTAGCCTAAGCACGAGCACAACGCGCGAAATGTAACGCTAGGAGCATGTGATTGGAAGTTTAAGCAAGACGAGGCTAGAGGGTTCCTCTCAAGCTATGGCAGCGATTAGTCGTATATGCGAAAGGACTCCCGTACCTGTACTTCCAGCTTCTGCAGCAACCCAATCTTAAAAGACTCAAAGACCTGGATTGAAAGAGCCCGCGTACACCCTGCCCTTGACGGGCGCTTCTACTAATCTGGGCGAGAATGCGCAATGCCCAGGGCCATTGTCTGCCCTGGCCACAACGCCCCATTGCAACTTCTCACTCGACGCAGTGCCCTCGTTTGCTTCATCTTCAGCCGTCGTTAAGTGACACGCCGCACTGATGGCCATGCTGCTGCTGCCTGCGACAGGCATGCCGCGCCTGTACGGTATGTGACCCAAGACCACGATGCTAATCGTCATGAGCCCACCACACACCAAGACAGCAATAATAGCAGGCGGCGAGAAGCCCACAGTTTGGTATCCGAAGAACCTGGAGTTGTATGGATCATTGTCGCCAGGCCTGCCAAGACTGTCATAAAAATCAATGGACATAAGGAATAAACTTTGAGAGACGAGCCAGTGCAATAGAGCGCTTAGTAAGAGAAGTGGTATGCTGAATCGGTATGGTAACTGAAGGAAGTAGGTGCAGCGCTGAGCGCCCTTGGGCTGGTGCGATACCCGAAGGCCTTTTCGTTTGTTGGCGTACGATACCCATTCATAGCTCATGAGCATGGCTGTCAAGAGTGCATTGTAAGAAAAGTAGAGCAAAGAGAAAACGAGCTGAGGCAAATTGGCGAGCACAACCTTGAGCACGAGGGAATCTGGAAAATTGCGCATGTCGATGGCGGAGCTTGGATCAAGGCCAACTACACACACGGCGTTAGCGAAACTTTCAGAACTTGCTGGTTCTCTTCTTCAACTATATCCACTGGCTTCGAGATGGTGTTATGCGTACCGAAGTCAAGCTGTGAGATTGTTATGCCTGGTGGCAAGGCGGTGATTCCGACGGCTAAGAATGCTGTGACAACCGAGAGAGCAAGCAAGAACCTGATGATGAACATAAGCTTCTGGCCTTGGGGAAAAAAGCGGAAGGTGAGGTTTGTTCTTACATGAAGATAGTGACGACGCGGCGTTCTGGACTAGTAGCATCCCTCCATCGATATTGTGGACAAGTCCAGCGTTGCGGACCTACTCTATGATGCTTGATACCTTTGCCGTCTCTGAACATTCTTTGATTTGCAAATGCCCAGAGGCACCTGTTTTTGCTTGTAGGATCCGGTCTTTCCAGGAAGGATGCGACTGCGTCGCCCATTGTCATGAGTGGCTCGTCTCCAACGAAGAACGCTACGTAAAACATGACGCCCGCTTTGACTATTTGCACCAATTAGCTGCTCCGTACGCAGCCCTCCTGCTAATAAGTAATTTTCTTCAAAGGGAAGCTTACCAAAGTTGAGTATTATGACGATAGTGCCAATAGTCGGTTCGAAATGAAGCTTGCAGGTTGGATCGGCCCTTTCGCTAAGACAGTACTTGACGGGCCATCCTGCTCCGGGTCCCATGAGCCACGACTCAGCAGATGAGTCCCGAATAGCATCGATTCCAAGCGAGCACGGCCTCTTAGTATCCATACCTGAACATATCCAGTCAAAGGAGTTGCGAGCCGTATCACGCGCCATTGCGCTCATGGCACTGAACTTCCATCGCCCATAGGCATGAGAGACATTTATAAGTGGGTTCTCATTCGGAGGTAGGACCTGGTCATCGCTGGCAACAAGCAGGACGTTGCGCTGAGCGGATTGAATACTCGTTGCGTACCTGGCTATGCATTCGGCGGGATCGAGCCTTTCGAGCGTGCCGGTGCTTGCATTGTTCCAAAGGCGATGCAGTACGGAAGGAAACTCGCCGGTAATCTCAGGACAGTTCAAACAGCTTGAGTCTGTGATAAAAGACTCGCTCGTTGATATCGCCCAATAGCTATTGGAAGAAAGGGAGCTGAATATTGCAGAGTTATAGCTGTTCTAATTGTTAGCTGGTGCGTCTAACATGACTTTGCGACTTACAATAGGTGCAAGGGGAGAGATGAAGCTCCCAGAAGACACCATAGTATTGCTCGGTGGCGTCCGATCTTAGTGAGGTTTCGAATACCTGGAATACCTATCTGAAGAGGAAGAAAAGGTGATAGTGCGTGCGACCGATCGATTTCTTGTCGTGTGGGTGAAGACATGCATTGCATGGTGTAGTTGGACCCAGCTAAAAGAATTGCACTTAGCAGGTTGATTAGAACATGCAGTCCAGTGTTTAGCTGTTTTGTAAAAACACACTCGCCCTCGAAAAGGACACCTCTGTCTTTCCTAGTAGCTAAAGAGCCCCATATCGTCGCGGTGAGATTAAGCACAAAGACAATCGAAACCCAAATTCCAAAGTGTAGTACGCCGAGTCGCCACCCTACGAATCGAGGGCCCACCAATCGTCCTAGTGTGCGACTGACAACGCTTCTCTCGATCAATGTGCTCGAGCGCGAGCGAATTGGATCGCTCGCGATGCTACTGCTATGGCGACTCTCTATGTTTTGCGCCGTAAGAGGAGTTTGCATCTCGAGAGCGTCGCCATTGACGGGCCGCCATTTCGTCACGTCCGGCGGTGCTGTTCCGAGTTGAAGAAACCTGCGCCAAAGTGCCTTTCGCCTTTGTTTTCCCATGATCATCAACAATGCAACGTTAAAGAGTAACAATGATTGAAAGTTGCGATTATGAGGGAGAGTTTGCCTGAGCAGATGAGGCTCTACTGTCTTTAAGACGCGCAGAGGGAAATACTATGCTGAAGGTTGAATTCCAAGCGCATAGCCTCGTTCAGGCGCCCAAGAGGAGGCTGCGCCTACCATTGCTATACACTGACGAGATTAGCGGACTGTTACACATTCGCAGCCTGTTCTCTCTGCCGTGCGCGATTGCATTCAGTAGAGACGTGTTCTTCTAATGGTGTTAGCTGGGCGCAGCGCAGCACGTAGTGCTGGCAAGTGTTTGTACCGTCCCGCCACACAGGGTGTCCCGCTACCCAGAGATAGATATTTTACCTGCAGCGCAACAAAACTCTGCGACCGTGCATGCTCACGTCTTTTCAATGGTAACTTGCGATACCTGCTCCGCTGTTGGTTTGGTCAAACGACAACTAGTTGGCCAAAACGCGTGCTTGTTGCACAGAACAATCGCCTAGCTTGTTTCCCTTCCTCACTTTCTCGCGTATCTTGCAAAGGGGGATTGAGGCATTGTTCAAAAACATGACTTGTTAATAAGATAGATGAGTAGAGGTGAGCCAACAAGAAATTTTGCTCAGTCGAAATAAGTGTTTTGCTCCGTTGACAGTTGTTACATATCTGCTAACTTGAGATTCTCTTACCATCTGATCAGCAATCAAGGTCCAACGCCCGGTCGTGAGTACATACGCAGAGGAGTCATTAGTACGGCACACGGCTTCTGCAACATCTTGAACAACGTAGCAGTGGACGTACATATACACATACATACATACCCACTATTTACCGTACCTCACGAGCACGAACCAACCAACACCCACGCCTTCGATGTGCATAGTACTGTTTAGCACCTCATCCTCCTGTCATTGCCCACCCGCGCCCTGCTACCCTTACCTGCGCTTGTGCCCTTACGCTAGGTCGCTTGAGCCCATCAAGGCGTGTCCGGTAGGGAGGAGGATGAGTCAGACGCTGTGGGTTGATGGCGAATGTGGGTGGTGCAGGCAGTGTGGCAGGGAGAAAGCTAGGGAGGGGAGGAGACAAGCAATGAGAGAGAGGGAGACCAGTAAAGGGATGGAGAGGTATCGGGAAGGGTATGAGAGGGGGAGGTTCGTCAGACGGAGTTGAATATCAAGGGAAGGGGGAGGGGGGATAGGGATTAAGGGTAGTGACCGGATGACGGATGGAAAGATTGACAGCTAGATGACAAATGGGAAAGGTCATGGAATGCAAAAAGGTTCCTGGTTGGTGGATGAGTATTCCGACGGATGAGCGAGAAGAGTTCATAATGGAGAGTTTCTGTTTTCAAGGGAAGAACCTGGACGGGTGATATTGTGATAAGCGTCCAGTGTTGAGGGGTTCAACTGCCGTAGTATACGTGTCCAAGGCTTGCGCAAGACAACACCACGATATCGAGTAAACTCGTTAGATAATAGCATTTGAAGCATTGCGCAATCGTTCTGTAAGCCGTGCAGGATAGCTGGTGATTCGTGGGCTGTTTTACAAATGGTCGTTTCGGTATTGCAGC